TCATGGTTTGTGCAAGGCAAGTGAGAAATGCAGTATGACAGAGGAGCAAGTCGTGTACAGCTCCAAGAAAAGTGTCCTTGTATGGAGATCAAAGGAGTGTCTCATTTCACTCATCCCTCTACAGAATAGCATTGTCAAATTGCGTTACTAGACTGTGTTGACTCCACTCCCACTCACAAGAAAAGATGGAGGCAGAAGTAGTGGTGGCCCCATACAAGTAAACCTGGGCCAAGGTAGAAAATTGCACTTCCTTTTGTTATTTCACAAGCCCTCAGGTTGGAAAAGAATGGGTGTTGGCCAGCTATTATTATAGGGTTCAGAAGAAAATAGCATTTGTCTTCTTCAGTGCATATGCTTCCAAATTGACTTGCAAATTTTATCACTGATACTAATTGTTCAATAGGCAATATGTTGTTACTATATCATTTGAAGTCAGATTGCAAGTAAGTAATGCTCTTTGGTGCAGTTTGTTATATCATCAGTAGATTATAATTGAAGATATCAAGGATCCTTCATCTTCCTTATATAGTGGGTACTGTATTCTTTTTTCATGTCAGAATGAGCCTCAGGCCATTGACCACTGCCAGCCAATTATTATGCATTCTCTCCCTCTCTCTCTCTCTGTCTCTGTCTCTGTCTCTGTATCTCTCTCTCTCTCTCTCTCTCTCTCTCTCTCTCTCTCTCTCTCTCTCTCTCTCTCTCTCTCTCACACACACACACACACACACACACACACACACACACACACACACATACATTTAAGCAAATATGAAAATACCCATATACACAAATCACATTCAGATATATTTACCTAAATAAATGAAGGCACAAGTGTACATACACTTACGCCTGGTGTGTATTCCATATTTCCCTGGTTAAATATTTCCTGAAACTTTTTTAATAATGTTTACAGATAATCATTATATTTTATTAATTGTTCATCATATTTAATTTATTGCTATAATTTTTTATTCAATTTCAGTCTAAACATTTGTTTTAATTTTCAAATGGAACTAGTTCGCTGTTTGTGCCAAAGATGAAAATATACGTACATAATTTGTTTGCACTGTGAACAATTGCCAGACATCATACTTAAATAATTCTGTAAAATAGACACTTGAAAGCAAACATCATGATCGCCGTATAATAGTTTAATTACCGCATACACTTGAGTCTCTCTGTCTAATCTTCCCCCATCGTCAACAACTTCTAACAAAGCATTGATCACTTTCTCACCGGAGTGTATTAGGAATACCATTATTGGTACCAGTAAGATTACCATTAATACAGATACACAGCGAAGTATGTATATTAAAAAAATGCATCAAATATGAAAGGGTGAAAGTGATTTAAAGGAGTTCTTTATTAGAACAAAATGATTTTATAAGGTAGTATGGTAGTTGCAGTGTGGAAAGAGAGGAAGCAAAGCCGGGGTAGGATAGCGATTAATAGAAGGGGGGAGGGTGGGATACAGGTGATTAGATCAAATAAATGGTATTTATGCATCTGAGGAAGGAAAATAGGTTGTTAATTGAAAAGCTTGTGGATTACGTGAGGATGTCCCGACAGTTTGAGGGCCAGGGAAGAGAGGTCAAGTAAGGAAAGGCGAGGGTACGGGCCTCACTAAAGCGAGGGCAGAATAGCAGGACTGAGGGAGGAACATTGCACAAGGAGGAAAGAGGTGGGATTGAAAGGGCATGAGGTACGAGTGTGAGAAGCGGGTGTGACCTATTCGTAAGGACACTTTCCCAGTGTCTGTTCTGGTGGTATGGTTTGTAGTTTATTGGTGGTCAGGCCTGACCAGAAAGATTACCAACGGTTATAGAGGAAAGTTTTGGAGTGAGGGTAGTAGTCAGTGGCTAGGATGAGTGAAAAGCAGGGTTGGTGGGTTGTGGACAAGGGGGTAGATCATGCCAGTACTTTTTTTTCATTGCCGAGGATTCCGACATGGATGTGTACCCAGCAAAATTTATCTGTTTTCTGCCGTGTAGACAGATAAAACAACTAATCTAGTACTGACTATAGGGTTGGCAGGGTGTATGGACTGTATGAGTGATAGTGAGTTGCGTGGGTCAGTGATGATGGTGAAGAATAAGGAAGAAATGGAAGACATACGTTGTAAAGCGAAGAAGATAGCATATAGTTTCAGGAGGAAGGGGAACGATTCAACGCTCGATTCAGGAGGAAGGGGAACGTTGTATGTGTGAGAAGGAAAGACTACAGCAAAACCAGTACCCGAGATGGATTTGGAGTAGTCTGTATAGACACGGGTACTGAATGAGTGTCTAGAGGGATGATTGCTTGGGGGGGGGGGGGGTCAGGAAAATAGAAGAGCAATTACAGGAGGAAGGTATTAACCAGGGAGGGAAAGACTGTGCAGAAAGAGAAATGGATCGGAGTTGAGGAATGGGTGAAGAGGAAAGCAAAGCGTGCATCCGAGCAGGAAAAGGGGTAGGTAAACGTGGAGAGGAGAAGTTATGTAGAAGGGATCGAGGGACAGTTAGCTTGGAGAGAGAAAATTGATGAAAACGAGTATAGCTCCTTAGAGACAAAAGAGTACGACGTCGAGAAAGGGACGGTAGCTTGATTCAATGTATAGGCTCACAACTGGCGAGGATCAGAAGGCGCCTAGGACTAAACAGAGACCGCAATGGTGAATTGAGTGAGGAGGGAAGCAGGGGTAGGAGAATATATATAACAGTCATAATCAATGGTGGAGAGGATTAGGGTAATATGGAGGTGGAATGTTTGGCGGTCTGAACCCCAGGTTCTGTGAGAGAGGGTCTGTGAGAGTTGGAGTCGACGGCTTGCTTTTTCTCTAAGAGAGAGGATGTGGTCTCGACAAGACAGTGTGAAGAAAAAATAACCCCAAGGAACTAAAGAGTGGAATTGGGTGGGAGGATCATAGAGGAAAAGTGGAGGTTAGGAACTTATACGTGAACGAGGAAAAAAGATGGAAAAGGTTTTAGAGGTAGGAGATCGAAAGCCGTGGTTGATAGCCCAGGAAGAAATGGATGTTATTGCCGACTGGAGAAGCTGATGGAGGGCTGGTATGGAAGGACCAGAGGCAAAGATGGCTAGATCATCTACATATAGTGATGATCGGATTCCTGGTTTCCTGGTTTACAGCAACGAGACATAGTGTGGTGCTGAGCACCCTGCCTTGTTAGAT